GCTAGTTAGTTAGCAGCTTATAGATGGCTGTGTTTGGATTCACTGAATGGGAACTAATCCCTCCACACGGAAAACGGGGCGATTTATTAGTTCATAATTAATTAACTATTAGCTATTTTTTTAAAAAAATAGATTAATTTGATTTTTAAGCAACTTTCGTATAGAAACTTTTTGCAAAAAAGAAACATCGTTTAGCAATTTAAAAAGCGTGCGCACAAAAAACGGGGATGGGTTGGAAAAAGGGGTGCCGAACACACCCAGAGTCAACATTTCATACTTGCATGCCCTGTCAACTGTTCGATCTAGTATGATGGTAAGATTGATGCATATCGAATGCATGCATGATCAATTGGACGACGATGTAGAGCCGTCCATATATCATGTTGTTCGATCTATTTCAGGGACACTATTAGCAAATTAAGATCTCCAGTAGGGCTTCTCTTATATCTGACATATCATAGGCATGTCCTTTTCAGCTACTCCATCAGATTATCATCGCGGATTATTTACTCCAAATCTCTATTTTTTTTCTTTAAATAGACTTTCTTTTCCTTGTAATTATCCTATATTTTTTAAGTTATTTGTTAAGTTTAGTTATCTAAACATTTAATTTATATCTATAATTGTATAAATAATCCACTATAATGATATGGTCAATACTCTATCAAATTGGACCCATCACCATATTTAAACTTCTTTCAAATACACCTATTTCCCTGCTGTTATTAAGATAAAGTACTCCAAAAAAAGTCTATATATATACCTTAGCAGAATATCAATTCCCCTTTCATCCGTTCTCCTCTATTAAGAAAACTCACTCTCCCATTTCCCTCTTCATTGTGCCACCACCATCACCATGCCCTCGGTCTACATGCACCATCCTTTATCGATCTCACACTACAAGCCACAAATCACATCATCTTATCATCTTCCATGATCTTTGGTGGTGTAGGATGCAACCATTCGAGTCTCCTTCTGTACGATTTAGCCGATAGATTGATCTATGGCTAAGGTTATATAGTGCATGGGAGGACAAGGTGACTATTTTGTATTTTTATGGAACATGGAGCTTTGAGCTTGTGCTAGATTTGCTTGAATTGCAAGACAGATAATTTGTGACATGTTTTGAATGAGTAGGACAAAATTAAATGGTGTGAAGAGTTGAAAGGAGTCTTATACATGGTTTTCAAACTAAGAACGTTTTTTAGATAGACGTAATAGTTGATGGGACAAATAGACTTGTCCCATTCTTTTTTTATTGGTCGCATGTCTTTCGGCATATAAGCCAAAGCTAAAAAAATACATTCATATCAATGCAGTAGTCAAAGACCAATATAAAAAAATATGTTACTCTCTCTGTTCCTAAATATAAGAAATTTTGAGGATTAACCTACATTAAGGAGTACAATTCATTTACATCCAATTTATCATCAAAATCCTTTACATTTAGAAGCGGAGAAAGTAAGTCATAACATATTGCACCATAACAACTAGCTAGGATAAGTCATACAAGTAAGAGCTCGTTTGTTCGTAGATTATGGATGATGGATTGTGCGTGGGTTATTCATGCCACATTTTTAAAGGTATTTTTTTTCATAAAAGAGCATTTTATGTATGTATTTTTTTAACTTATTCTAAGCTACTCCATCTATCTCAAAATTACTTAGTTTTTTACACGAATCTAGACATAAGCTACTATTTTGGGATGGGGGAGCATTTCATTTTACTACTCTAAACTATTTTATCGTTTTCGATAGTTCGTAGTGTAAAATAAATTTTACTTTCTTTATTAGGTTTATAATCTAATATTTAATTTACCCATATAAACAATTTTCCATAACTTATCCAATCATATCCTTGCATTCTCTACAAGCATTAGCTGGCAGATCTCTTTTGCCATCGGATGAGATCTGCACTCCAAAGAAAAGAAAAAGGTAGGTAGCTAGAACTCCTATTTAGCACTGTGACAGCAAGAGACACGTACTGCGTCCGGTTCTAGCTACCAGATCCAGCAGCTTCCAGGGCTGCTCTGCCCCTTTGGGAGCAGCAGCTACTTGCTCTGCCCCTTCCTTCCCAACGTCTCTTTTATTTCACGAGCACATTTTCTACACGGCTAAACGGGGTATATTTTATAAAAATTTTATATAGAAAAGTTTATTTAAAAAATTTACTAATTTATTTTTCAAAGTTTTAGACTCATACTTAATTAATCACGTATTAACGAGCAACATCGTGTTTCGTACTTGCAGTTTCCAACTCCATCTCCCGAACTCAGCCACGTAATAATTCCTCTGTTGCCGTAGGCCCCGGCCTTTGCACTATCTCCAACCCAGTTCGTCTCCCTTTGCCACTGTTTGCATCCGTCTATCGATCTGTCCATGGATAATGCTTTCTGCTGCTGCATTCATGCATCGATCCATGGATGCAATGCATGCATCCAATCCGTATCCATATCCATATCCATCCATCCGGATACGCGTCTCTCGATCTAATATCCGGCCAAAATTTAGGTGGCCCGATCGGGTGCAGAGGGTTATTTTCCGGGATTCACGACACGAAATCGTTTAGATGCATGGAGTTTTTCTTCAATTCATACAAGAAATGTACAAAGGATATAGGGAAAATCCCCTCTATACTTTAACGTTTGTTGATCTTTAGAATTATTCCCTCTGACCGAAAATATGAATATTTAGTAGTACCACCGGTTATTTTTGTTTGACGTTTCAGATAACTGATTTGGATTATCTGGAAGGAGTATTATAATTTGGGACAAGGAGTATTACGAATCAGGATAACATCTTATCCAAATTCATAGTATAAGATGGTTCTGTCTAGATTTTTAATACTATGTGACTTTATATTTTGTTAGGGAGGGAGTAAATTTCAGAATTAAATTAGTGGCCTTTTGCTATTTTCCACCATATCTTTCGGAACTTAAATAGTAAAAACATATTATTTCTTAAATTTAATTTTTAGGTAATGCCTTTACCTTAGGCCTTGTTTAATTCGCGAAAATAAAAATTTTGGGTGTCACATCGGACGTTTGATCGGATGTCGGAAGAGGTTTTCGGATACAAATGAAAAAACTAATTTCATAACTCGCTTGGAAACCGCAAGACGAATTTATTAAGCCTAATTAATCCATTATTAGCATATGTAAATTATTGTAGCACTTATGGCTAATCATGGACTAATTAGACTCAAGATTCGTCTCGCGATTTCCATGCAAACTGTACTATTAGTTTTTTTTCTTTATCTATATTTAATGCTTCATGCATATAGCTAAAGATTTGATGTGACGTTTTTGAGAAAACAAATTTTAGGAACTAAACAAGGCCTAGCTTACTCCCTCCATTCTAAAATAAACCAACTTTATAAATCTGAACATATGCTATGTCCAGTAAAAAAATTATTTATTTTATAATTGGGGGAATAAATTGTTGTAGTCATGTAAACGGCTTCGAGCAAGCCTGCATGGGTAAAACAGTTACCCACACAAAATTAAAATCGCAAGATACTCGATCTTATCAACTTACATTAGTTGGAGTATTTAAAAATCACTTTTGAAACAACAAAATTGAAATTTAACTACAAATCCTTGTGAAGTGCGGTACGTGCTCCACCGATGAACCCTCGATCAGGTCGCCTGCTTTCTTCATCTACCTCTCCCATTCTTGCCGCATGCCGACCGGCCGGACCTTATGGCCCCAGCTAGCCTAGCTACTCATCCTCTCCTCCTTTAGATCTGGTTTAGTTCTCAACTTTTCCTTTAAACTTTTAACTTTTCCATTACATCGAAACTTTCCTACACACAAACTTCTAACTTTTCCGTTACGTCGTTCCAATTTCAATCAAACTTCTAATTTTAACGTGAACTAAACACACCCTTACTTCCCTCTTCACAAGAGCTCCATGACTTTCTGGCTCAAACAACTGTGCCCTAGCTACTGTTGCACCTTAAAAAAACCACCGGCAATGGCGCCATGGCCGGATGATGGATGATGGATCCCTTTGTCTTTAATTAACTTTGTCAATCCATAGTGCTGTATGTACATGTACTTGTACTGGATTGCCACAGTGCATCTACTTGTACGATGCTTAAGATAAGTTTTGTAGGAGTACTCGACTGCAACTTCATCCCATCCGTATTTGCAAGATTTTTTTTTGTGAGATGCATGCATGCTTGCCCTAGCTAATAACCATGTATCCATATGTAGTCAGCTCAATTTATCGTGTTCGTTGGCGTGTTCTCAATATAAAACTCTGCACTATTTTACGAGGGTTGTTTAAAAAAATTGCCGTGTTCGTAGAAGTTCTTTTATGACGCAAACTTCACATACCATATAGTCCTTGCACGGTACCTAAATAAGAACTTATTATGGGGTTTATAGCTGAGAAAAAGAATCGGAAAAAAACCTTTATAACATAGTCTGTGTGTGTATGTGTGTATAGTACCATTTTTTATGGGAAACAACTAGTTTATTAATTAATAGAGCTATTTTTCTAAAAAAAGTAACTACTATTCAATAAACTTCGTGATGTGGTCTTGTTCAAAGGACTTCAATATTGACATGGTGATAGAGCCTCTGGTATAGGATAGGCCGAACTCAGGTTTTGAAAAAGAAAATTTCTCCCTCGACAGACACTAGTAGAAGCTGCGGATCATTTTAAACCCGTCTGTCAAGTTTTTCATAGACAACTAAACCGATACTAATTTGTGAGCTATTCAAATATAAGCATTAACTTTCACTAAACCATACCCATTTCATCCTCACATGACAAAACATTTGAACCTCCCATGAAGGTTGTGTTTAGTTCAACGCAAAGTTTGGATTTTGGTTAAAATTGGAGATGATGTGACTAAAAAGTTGTGTGTGTATGACAGGTTGATGTGATGGAAAAGGACTAAAGTTTGGATCCAAACTTTGGATCTAAACACAGCCGAAGCTTAGTAAAAAGTACCACAATATAATAATGGTACTAATTTGTGAGCTACTAGATCAGTAGGTAAACAACAATAACATTGATGATCAAAATACAGAGCAATAATATGTCGCCGGATCGATCCCATCTTGATGAGAAACAAAATGAACAAAAAAAAAAGAGGAACAATAGTGATAATAATAATGGAGGTGCTAGCTGAACCATCGGCTGGCTATACCATCCGACGAAAACGAGCTTAAATTCTTCAGACTTAATTAACAGCAATAACAATAATAATCATCATGACGACGTTCTGGAATCGCAGAAACTGGCGCAGAATCCGGCCAAACCACCACCTTCTTGTTCTTCATCTTCATCATCGCCGTTGTTGTGATCAGATCATCAGATCATGCTCTATGCATGCTTCATCTCTCCACAAGATCTCAAGTAAAAATACACACTTGACACACACACTATGTACAAAACAAGATTTAACCACATATCTTGATCCATTTCTGATCTTCTTCTTCTTGTACTGCAGCTGCAGCCATGGCCACCACCATCTGGACTGAACTGAACTGAACTGAGAAAAACCCCAAAACAAATCCTGCCTTTGCCTTTGCCTGCCTCCCTGGCCCCCCCAACATCCATCCAAGAATATTCACATAGGATGGTAGATGATGATGATGAACATATGTACAAGGATTAGGAGAATCTAACAAGCAAGAAACTAAAATAAAAAAATAATAGAATTTTTTTGGTTGGAAAAACTTTTCCATTTTCTTTTTTTTTCCTTCTCTTCCTGCTACCTTCTGCTTCCACTATGGAGGCATGAGGAAAATTCTTACTCAGCCATGGCTGCCGCCTTGTTGGGTTTGCTCAGTTGATGAGGTCGGATACCCAGCCGACGTCGGGCGCGACGCCGGCGGCGGCGGCGGCGGCGTCGGTGGACACGGTGGCTTCTTTGCTGAGACGCTCGAACACCTTCTCCCGGAGAGCTCTCCCGGACTCCACCCTCTCCATGGGTTGCTCCTCCTCGATGAGCCCGAGGTCGAGCGGCTCGACGGTGACGGTGGCGCCGGAGGCGGTGGTGACCGTCACCGGCGATAGCCTTGTCGGGGTGGACGGGAGGCTGTAGAGCGCCGCGGCGGCGGCGGCGGCGGGGGATTTGGGGGAGCCGTACTGGTAGCCGGCGGGGAGGAAGGAGGCGCACGACGGCGCCGACCTCGGGGAGCCGAGGCGGAGCTGGCGGAGCGAGACGTGCACGTCGTTGACCGGGGAGCCGACTCCTGCCCACGCGCCGCGACGGAGCGCGCCGGCGGCGTCGGGCGACAATGGCGGGGACTCGGACGGCGGCGACCTCGGCGGGGAGACGAGCGTGCTGGTGGGCGACGACGACATGATGCTCTTGGTGAGGTAGCTCTCGAACGCCTGGCGCCGGAGCGGCGAGCCGTCGTAGGACTCGGCGAGCGGGGACGCCGCGGCGCCCGCGCCGCCGCCGCCGCAACCCCTCGGGCTGTTCGAGCCCTGCTGCTGCGAGGGCGGGAGGACGCGGAGCTGGTCGGGGGTGTGGGCGAAGAAGCAGACGCGGCGGCGGCAGGCGGTGCCGTCCTTGCAGGGCTGCGTCCGGTAGCGCGCCGGGTGGAGCCAGCACTCGAACACCCCGTGCGCGAACTCGCAGGCGTCGCCGCGCTTGCACCCGCCCTTGCGGAAGTCCGGGCACGCCGTGCCGGAGTAGCAGTACCGCCTGGGGTCCCTCCGCCGCGCCTTCTCCCCCGGGTGCGCGAAGGGGCACTCCGTCCAGTCATGGCTCCGCCCGCGCGCGCACCGCCGCACCTTGAACTCGTACATCCTGAACTCATCGCACGCGTACGCGTCCACCGCCGCCGCCACCGCCGCGGCCTCCTCCTCATCCTCCGCCGCCGCCGCCTCGTTCGACGGCAGGTAATGCCGCAGCGTGTCGAGCAGGTGGTACGGCGCGGCCACCACCTCGCTCTCCCTCCCACCTCCTCCCTCCACGCCGCTCACCGGCGACGCCACGTGCTGCTGCCACGGCGGCGCGTGCGCGCCCTCACCCATCATCATCATCTTGCTCTCTAACTCCTCTCCTCTTCTCCAACTCCGGCGAGGCAAGGTGTTCGTCCGAAGTCGCCGCCGTGATCCGCTGTGGTGAAGAGGAGGGGAAGAGGAGGCGCGGCTATATAAACCAGAGAGGCCCCCTCCGCTAACCGCGGTTGGGTTAACCCTCGCGGTGTCGCGACGCTTCCGAACCATGGTTGGGTTAGCCGCGGGGTGGCAAACGGACGCCGTCTCGCGCGGGGTGGGGAGGGGGGAGGCTGACACGTGGGGGCAATCGGAGGGTGGGGGCCCACAGGTCAGTCCCACGTGGGGGGCATCGGGGATGGGGGACACGTGGAGGGAGGGGAGAGGGCGGCGTAGGACATGCGCATCGGGAGGTGGACCGCGGGTGCGGACACGTCGTGGGAGTGGGAGATGGGGGGGAGGCGTACAGCCCAAGGCGAAAATTGCTACGCGCACCACGTAGATTGCGTTAATCTATTCCTGTTTTTACCTTCTTTGTTTGATTTTAGGGGAATGCTTTGTTGTGTTGCCTAATTTAGCGGAGGAATAGATCTTATCCGGTTTTTGTTTGATTGTTGCCTGCACGCTCCGTAAAAATAGAATGAGGATGAATCCGGACGCCTAAAATTTGTTTTTTCCCTTCGTTGCTACTCCTTATAACATATTTTGAACGGATATGGCATATTCGTTCTGTCCAGATTCGTCCAGATTCGTTCTGTTTTCTCTAAATTCTTTTATATTTTGGAATAGATGGAGTAGAAAAATAGTACTCCCCCAACTATTTGATCGCATCACTTAACCTTACACTATTTTTTTCTCATTTTACGTCCCAAATTATTGAAAACAGTTCAGTTCACTTTCCAAACACTATTTTTCTTTTTTTATTTCTATAAAATCATAGGTTGCACTGAGAATTTGGTAGAACATGGATGCATTTAGAACTTACGATTGCATTTTTTAATTCAAGCAAACACCATGAAAAATTTTAAAATATTTTTGAACTTTAATAACGTCGTCATCTATGGCTTAAAAAAGTTTACTGTACAATACAACTGGCATAATTTTTAATAGTTTAGGGGTAAAATAAGCTAAAAAGTATAGTTTAGAGGGTTAAGTGGTCCTTCAATTAGTCCAGAGGAGTAAATATAACTTTTTTCATGAATGTTGCCATATTTTCAAATCAACATACTCAAGTAACAAAAGTGACCGAAATAAGTCAAAATATGATGCCACATATTTTCTTCAGGATTGTCGTTGAAATATGCTTTGCTTGGCTTTTATGGAAGTTTCAGTGAGAAATGGAATATGTCAATTGATTTGAAGAGCACTGGTGGAGCCAACAACACCGTCGAGGCAGAATGCTAATGGTGTTTCTCCATGATCTACTGATATTTTTATACTTTAACAGCTAAAAGTGCATCTAGCCCCATAAGGACTTATTTGTTTAATCCTCATAAGAGAGGGATTGGAGAGTATTGCGGGGGAATAATTCCACACCATAATATTTGTAGAATTAATCCCCTCCAAATCCCTCTCAAACCCCTCGGGTGGGGGATAAAACGAGCAAGGCATGAGTGTGTTTTGGTTGATTAATGGAAAAACGGTTATGAGACTAATGAATTTATCAAGTTCAATGCAGATAATTAGTCCAAGATGATTAGATGCGCATGCAGACCCCAGAAAAGAAATGATAATGGTGAGAGGACTCAAAGCTTCATTTAAATTAATTTTATATATTGCTTTTGAGTTTAGGAAATCCGTACTATCCAGAGGGTACCAATCATATGCCTATGTTGATCTAAAGCGCTCACAGTCCACATTCATAGATGAAAGACATTTTTGCACAACACTTGCACAGGCTTGGGTATCCATAGAGAACCATGCCCGGAACTTTCTAGCAATTCGACCGGAAATTCCAAGCTAACTAGTTTCTACCAGTGTCTAAGTGTTGCCCAGGCGTTTCTGGCTAAAACTTCTAGGTACATTTTTTACTTCAAAGATGTATATATTTCTCTCACCATTTCCAGTGATCTTTTGGTAATTTCACTTTTGTTTTTGTGTCTCTTAGGGTTTCCTTTCACTATTCATTTTCCTCTTGAGCTCCCATGGTCATTTGAGTTTGAATTTTAGGTTGGTGGTGAGAGTTCTTGCTGGTGAGATGACTATAAGGGCTCAGTGGCAATGCCGGATTTGGAGCAGAGGGGGGCTTAGCCTTCTTCTTCCTCTCCCTCTTTTCCCCTCTCTCCTCCATCACATATTCATAGAGTCGAACGGGGTAGGGGATTCAAGATCCCCCCCCCAACCGTGTGCCCCTGTAAGGGCTTGAGCAACTGTAGATCTTTGTGGGGCTACTGCTGATGAATGTGACCGTGAATTTGTAATGTGATGATATCCATGTGTGCTGATAAGAAATATGCCAATTTTGTATGTACATTGATTACTACATAACGGCTGGATTTTTGTTTTTATCTTTTGCTAATACAACAAGGTATGCGGTTCATAAGTTATAACCGCCTGTGTGAAAAGAATTTTTAGGATGGATGTGTTTAGAAACGTCCCATATAAAATGTATTTCATAGGTGAAGATTAAAAATATCCGCCTGCATAAATATATGTTTCGGACGATGACGGAGCTTGGGGCTCCTCACCGGGAGACCGCGCAGGCCCCCCTTTGCCGGTTCGGCCGGGGGCCCTGGGTGAGGTTCTAAGCTCCTGGTCTGTGTGTGGAAGGTTCGCGAGCATGGAAAAAGCACAAGACACGGGCGATGTATACAGGTTCGGGCCGCTGAGAAGCGTAATACCCTACTCCTGTGTTTTGGTGGATCTGTGTATGAAGAAGCTACAAAATGCCAGCCAGCCCCCGATCGTTCTCTTCTTTTTCTTCCTAAAAATCCTCCCCCATCTTTCTAAGTGGGCAAGGTCCTCCTTTTATACCTCAAGGGGATACCACATGCTCCATCTCTCTCTTTTTTGTGGGGACTTATCCTCTCTTCCCTCCAACTTGACTTCTCTTCATTAATGGACGGAGATTTGCATGGCTGCCGTCCGAATGACCTTCTGACGGGACGGCCCATACCTACCTCCACTTCCGCCGGAAGCAGGCGCGACGTGGGAACATGGCTGTTTGCTGACGACATGACCATTGTCAGACCGGTCACAAATCGGTCATTCTTGTCCACCACGTGTCAGTTTAACAATCTGCATGTTCGCCCTTCTTCATACAATATCTTGCCTGTAATGGTTAGGATGAAGCCTGGCATACATCTGACCGGAACCAACGTGCCATCTCCAGGAGCTAACACGCCGGCTCCGGCTAGGGACGAGTACTTGAAGGCTCTCGTCCTGACGGGATGGGGCGAGGCGTGCGTCAGACCGCCTGTCGCCACCTAACCCACGATCTGACCGGTCTGTGACTGGTCACTGACCGGATAAACGAGCGCGCTGCACTGCGTTACATGCGGCGTGACGCGCTCGTCCAAACCGCAATAAATGCGGTTAGGTGAGCGCTGCTGCGCTCACCTAACCCATACACGCGGCGCAAAATCCACAAGGGGTCGGGGCGCCCCAGCCCTCGGGGCCGAGGCGGGAGCGGTCCGACCCCCTCAGGGAGACAAAGAGGAGGGCGAACACATCACCCTCGGGCCCGACGCCCCCCGAGGGTGCCAGGCCACGTGGGCGATTGTGTCTGCCTCAAGCCTCTAGTCACGATACTCCCGGTCCCATGTCACCGACAGACGATTCTTAGGGCCTGTTTGGGGGAGCTTCTAGCTGCTGCAGATTCTCCCAGAATCTCCAACTCTCCCAAAATAGTCCAGATTGTCACCAAGATTCTGAGAATCTGTAGTTGTAGAATCTAGAAAATGAACTAGAACCCAGAAACTAGAAAACCCAGCTTCTCCAGATTCTCAGAAGCTGGCTACCAACCAGCAAAATTCTCGGAATCTTAAGCTCCCCAAACAAGGCCTTAATGTGACTGTAAAAACACCTAATTTTTAAGGCCCTTGGCTAGAGGCAGGTCAAAAATGACCCATGTAAACGGCTTATGGATCATCTGGACAAACGTTCTCTGTACTAGTAGGTGACACAACTTGTGATCGTGAACCCCAACAACTTTCTCCAATCACCTTATACTTTCCACATATCTTTTTTAACAATCCTTTTTGCAACATTTTTACTGAATGGTGTGTTTTTGTTGATTACAGTTTACCTCCTAATAATGCAAGGTTGTGTTTTTATTTATTACAATTTACCTCCTAATAATATAATTAATGCAAGGTCAATTCAGATACGAAATGCCATGAATCCATAGTGATATCACGGGAACCGAATCTCAGCAAAGGAATATGATAAATATAGTCATATCATTAGAATGTAAAAAAAAAACTCTGGTGCATTTGTTTTTTGGCTTCACACATGCTTAATAAGATAAAAATCAAGTGGGAAATCCCTAACTAATCTAAAATTGTGTTGAAATTATATTAGTACTATGTAATATTCGTGATCATTGAAATTTAAACGTTAGTGAATTTTAACCTCTTTTTAATATTGAATAGAGCAGTTGGCTATAAGAAAATAATGGAAAGTTCAATTAAGTGATACAAATAATATGGAGAACAATCTAAGATACGCCGGCCTAATATTTTGGGGAAACTCATATGAGTATGGTGTGTGTCTATGCATTCACATATATGAGTGTGCGCACATTATAAACGCCTATGTGGGAGCGGGAAGCTTATCTAGCTGAAAGGTAAGATAGCCCCCTTGGGATTCGGCCAGGGAATAGGTGGACGGAAATAAAGCGATTAGCGTCACGTAGATGAACCAAAGTTGTAGAATACGATGATGTAGATAGGTTTGGGTTCTCGAAACCATAACACCCTACTTCTGTGATCTTGCTATGGATGATGATGAAGAAGATATTTACAATGTGTTCTTGGGTTCAAGTTGTTCTAAGTTGGAGATGATGATCTCTTCTTCACTATATTGTGGCTAGAACCTAACTTAGTCTAACCGTATGAATTCCTCTTGTCCCCACATTTTTTTTCGTGGCATTGGTCCTCCTTTTACTGTTGCAAGGGGATAGCACAGTGGCCTGTTTCTTT